TGCTTGCAGCCCACATGGGGCTGCCTGTGCCTGCTCAGGACAGCCCCGTGTGGGCTGCAAGCAGCTGCAGCAGGGAGCACCAACCACGGGGAAGGGGGAGGGGCAGCTTTTCCCCATGCTCAGCACTGCTGGTTCCCTGCCCTTCCCCCCCCTTACCTGAGATTCCTGCGCCAGGGCAGTCGCATGGTCCCAGTCCAGAAGCCCCTGCTGGGGCTACCAGCAGGGGGGGGGCGGGGCCAGGCAGGCCCTGCTGTTGAAGGAGCTCTTCAGGGCTTCCCCTGGGTCCTACTGCCCTTGTTTCCTGTCATCTTTGACAGGAACCAAGGACAGATAAATTTTAATTTTCTAAATTTTTTTAGGGGCCCCGCAGGCTGGATAGAACAGCCTCATGGGCCGGATCCAGCCCGCAGGCCATATTTTGCCCACCCCTATGTTACACAGAGCATTCAGCAATATTGAGAGCACTGACAGATGTGCAGCTCCCTGATCTAACTCATGGCACTTAACAGAAAGCACTGTGAGTTAGTGACCCCCCCACCCTCAAATGTTTGCTGTTTGGGGATGGGTGGGAATCAAACTCCGCTTTGGAGCTGATCCAGAGAAAGGCTGCCTGCCTGCAGCCTCTCTCCTTTAGCTCCCCCCTCCCCCCAACTCTCCCGCTGTCTGCAGGATGGGAGGGGGGAGAAGGGAAGGGATTGGGCTCTAGGCTGAGGTTTGCCCAGGCTGAGCTTGATGGGAAGAGGGCTGGAGGGGGGTGACACAAGACAGGGGGGCTCCAATCCATCTGCCTTCCCAGCCCAGATCAGGCTGGGCAAACCCTAGCCGGGAGTTCCCTCTCCTCTCTTCTCCCCACTCCCATCCTGCAAACAGCACTGGGGCTGCATCAGCCCAGCCCTCATCGCATGCAGTGACTGACGAAAGTTAATGAAGGCGGTTCACTTTGTAGCATCTTCATTTGAACCCTCATTAGATGAAGGTTAATTTGTTGCATGATTGGGCACTTTTAAAGTGCTCTGGAGCTGTGTGCTTCTGTCACGGCGCAGCTGTAGTGTGCTTCCAGGGGGCTGATTGTGCAACAAATGTCGCTCCTGTTAGTTAGTACCCTTAAACCCGATTTAGATGTGAAGATATAGAAGGAAGGCTGAGTTGAAAACGTTCAGGAAACTAGCTATATGCTATTTTTAAAGCTAAGCACTTTTTTGTTATGTTTAAAAAATATTTAACACTATCTGTAACTGCAGTTTGACCCGAGCATAATGTTCTCAAGATTGTTTTGATGGTCCCTCCTAAGAAAAGATAACTATATACTTACAGGCTTAATTTTTTCTACCTATTTTATTCTGCCAGAGGTTGAAATACATTTGAAAAGATCTCACTGCCACAAGCTATAGTGGATTTTGGTCATTTGATAAGGTTCAAAAGGGGATCTGACAAATTCATGGAGAATAAATCCATCCATAGGTATTAAACATGATAGTTAAGGGTGCAACCTCCGAATTAGGACAGACTAGGCCTGGAAGCTAGTGTGTGGGAAAGGGCAGGCAGGATAGGCCCTGACTAAGCATCCACTCTGCATTTATAAGATGCATAAGCAATCTTAGTATCCACTCTATCGATGTGGGAAATGGTGCACTAGGCTAAGTAGGCCTATGGTGTTAATTTCCTTTAGAAAAATGTAATATAATACATAAAAAAACTGTAAGCATTCAGTGAAGGTTTCCTAGCCTCTTCCCATCCCATTGATTATTTTTATTTAACCAGGTTGTGACATTTATCTGATCTTATAATAAACAGAGTTTGTCTACATAGGCCACTTCACTGCAGTGTGAGGACAGTCAATCTAACTTTAAATAAGCCAGCTTCAATATCAAACAGCGAAGTCAGAGCAGCATGGAGCTCCACATTGGCTCATTTACCCTGTTGAGAAGTCTGTTTAGAGAGTTTACTGCCATTCTGTACTGCTTCTGTACCCAAACTACCTACAGCATCCAGCCATGCGTTGCGGTGTGTGGTATAGATACATTCACAGTTGAACTGCAGCCACACAAATAGCATGTTTTCCTTATGTAGCTGGGCACTGCACTTGTTCATTGATACACAGGACACTGCCTAATTAATCGCTTGTCAGTCCATTTGGGAAAGATATGAGCAGCTAAATATCATATAAGGCTGTGGCAAGGGTCAAGAAACTTACTACGCTTGCACACACAGTGATGTTAGGGTTCAGAGAGCACAGGGGAAGGAGAACAAGCAATTCACTTCATAAAACTGTGGTTAAGGTTTTTGTGGCCTCTCCAACAGTTTTGAATTTATTTATGGGAAGACAGTGGGGTTTTTCCAAGTTAATGGTAGAACAGCCTATGCAGTGGCTACTATGTACTACCCTGATGTGTGTGGACAGACAATGCTATTTTCTGCCAATCATTCCAGTAACTGGATGCAAACCATGGCACCTGATTTTTTTTTCCTGAATGGCTTCTTTCGAATGACAAACAGTGTCCACATCTTTATCTTCGTGTGCTTTGGTGTTTTTGTCTATTTGGGAGCTCTTGGCCATCAGAGATGTTACCAGGGATCACTACATGGAAGTGGCTGTCGTCGATCCCCTCTGAATGGCTGATGTACTTTGTTAACATTATAAATGGCAGAGCTGGTCCTTAAAAGTTTATAATGTAAGCTGAGCACTTTTGTCAGCAAAAAAGACTGATTATATGGTGATCTCACGCCATGTTGTAGTTTTGAGCCTACTCTGTACTTTGATGGGAGATGGCTTCTGTAAAGCTAGGGTTCTGCTGAAAGCAAATAGAACTCTTCTCTTTGAAGTACTTGATCTTTTTAGGGCTGCTCCAGGTGTCCATCAAATGAGAAGTACGCTGAAGTTCGTGAAACCTTAGAGGATCAAACTGTGCTTCTCTTGAGTGTAGTGCCATTAGTTCTTCTGTATTAATCATACTCTAAATTCAATAACTGTATTTTTCTTGTGTAGGTTTCCCTTTGCTGTATCCAGAAATTCTTTATTTCTTTTTCTAAGGTGTTGTGTAGCATTGAGGTGTGCTTTGTGGATGAGCAAAAGCTTTAAAAATTTAAATTTGTGTGTGAAGTCTCACTGTATCCAGTTTGTACTGTCTTTAAGCCATAAAAACTGTAGTACATAAAATAAAAACATACTTTTAATTTACTAGTAAACTCTTCTGTATCTGTGGCTTTAATAAATATGCTTTATTTTAAGTTTAATTATATTATGCAGCTTACTTCATGGTTCAAAAATCCTTATTGTTAAGGCTTCAGTTTTCAAGATGTTGCACTATCTAGCACAGCAACACCATTAAATACATAGTAAGATGTACATATGCATTTTGGACTGAGTCATGCAGTAGGAAAGAGCTTATTATTTTTCCAGCTATTACATCATATACATGACAAAATTTAAGAGTTGTGTTTGTATGTGTCATTTTCTTTTCTCTGATTTGGTCTGAATGGGGTAAATTCATTAGACCACCATAGCCTCTAAAAATATTATATCACCTACAAGAGGCATTTGTTTATTTACTTGATTTATATGCCACCATTCCCAGCAGAGGCTTTGCGTAGCTTACATCCGGAGAACAGTATAAATTTATAAACTGTGAAAATGCTTACAGAAGAGGAGAAAACACAGCAGAAGCCCACTAAACCCAGTCCATTTTTTTCCTAAATGCCTGCCCAGATAGATAGGTCTTACAGTGCTTTTGAAAGATGTCCAGGCTTGGGGTCTGGAGGGTCTCTAGAAGGAGAGAGGTCCAGAGCTGCAAGGTATCTTCAGAGAACAGCTTCCTACAAGTGTTTGCTAAGAAGATTTTG